AGTGATCATTATGTATGACCACAAATATACATATAAAGTTTCAAGTTTGTATCTTTAATAGTTTCGGAGATATGCAAAACTTGCATGTTAAACTTAACCAAGAAAAGGAGATTTTTTTAGTACAAAAAGGGAGCATAATTCATGGCAAAATACATGGCAGAGTAACGAATCTTGAGAGGTGACCTTCAATTATGACCCTTAGTACATGTGTAAAGTTTCAAGTAAATATCTTTGAAGACCTTTAACCTTAACCAAAATTTCTAAGTGTCAAAGGGGCAAATAATTCTGCATATATTGCAGGCAGAGTTATGCAACTTTGCAAACTGATGTACATTGTTACTATAAATAAGTATTGTAAGTTTCAATTGAATATCTCAAGCAATAATTGATATATTTGACTCTAAAAAAACTTTAACCAAAATTTCTAAGTTAAAAAGGGGAATAATTCTGTAAATATTGTAGGCAGAGTTATCAAACTTGTCAATATGTTGTACAATGTTACTATAAATAAGTATTGTAAGTTTCAATTGAATATCTCAAGCAACAATTGAGATATTTGACTTTACAAAAAACTTTAACCAACGCAGACGCGGACGCCAGGGCGACTACAATAGCCATCCATATTCTTCGTATAGTCAAGCTAAAAATGGTCCATGTTAACTTTTCTCTACAGCAAATACAAGGGAAACATGACAGTAGAAATACCTCATTTGTTTTCTTTGAGAACAAGCTAAAAGGGGTGTAAATGCAAATTTAAAGCTTTCAGTATAATACCCTTGTTTTACAACTTGTCAAGTTAAACAAGTATTCCAAGTGTGATGATGATACCTCTTAACAGTTCTATCATTCTACTTAATTTAACAGGGAATTTTGACATTAAATTAAAGTAAAAGGGGCAAAACACAAAAAATACAGCTTTCAGAAAAAAGTCACTTGTCTACAAATACCTCTTGTCATGATAAACAAGCATTCCAAGATTTATATTGATGCGTTTAAAATTGTTAGAGCCATTGGCTACATTACAATGACAACCACACTGTGATCATTATCTCAACCTTTTTTCTGAAACAGACAAGTTAATAATCAAAGGGCTGCAAGCTCTGTGGTATTTTCTGATCTTTGCAATCTAAATCGTACTGTATATCTGTATGTGTTTTCCTGTATAAGTTTATTTTTGGCGTCCGCGCTCTTATGGAATGAAATCAGATTTTGTGAAAGGGCGACAGCAACTTCTCGAGCCTTTAAATCGGACATAATAAAAGCCGATCATTCCGATCAGTATGACGGTGCTTGATTATTAATTAAAAATGAAATGTCGCGATATATACAGTGAATAGCGAACTGAAGAATATCGCAATGCAAACATTTTCAAATGAAATACCCTTTTCCGTCAATACATCGCGCTCTTCGGGGTATTTTTATTTATCATGTTGTAGTACACAGTGGGTTATTATGGTACATAAATCCAAAAGCTGAATAGAATGATGAGTTGATGACCTAAATATTCCGAAAATCTATTTATAGAGGGATGTACTCCTATCGGTAATTCCCGGTCTCTCCTGGTCTATTTTGACCGGAATTTACTAGTGACCGGCGAATAGTACCACACGTTTATTGTCCGGTCTCTACCGGTTTTGGAGTAGATGAGTAGATGTTTGATATCGTTACAGAACAGAACAAATGTTTTACAGTGATATAAGTTTTTTTCAAAATGAATGTTTGTCACTTAGTTTGGTTACAATAATTAATAAACACAGATCAACTCTCAAATTTATTGATTATTATTATACAATGTCATAAACATACAATTCGAAAACAAGAGGGCCATGATTGCCCTGAGGTCGCTCACCTGTATATAGCCCCCCCCCCCACACACACACCCATAAGATGTTTCATGCTAAACATCTAAGCTCTAGCTCATTGGGCTTTTTAAAAGAAGATTTTTTTAAGTTTTTACTATACACATATAGTTAAAAACAATGACACCCCTGGGTCGGGGCCAGTTTTGACCCCAGGGCTTTTATTTGAACAAACTTTGTAGACACTTACTAGAAGACTTTTCATGCTTAATATCTAAACTCTAGCTATTTGGGTTTTTTCAAAGAAGATTTTAAGTTTTTGCTATACACATATAAGGAAAATCAATGACCCCCGGGGCGGGGCCAATTTTGTCCCCAGGGCTTTTATTTGAACAAACTTTGTAGACACTCACTAGAAAATGTTTCATGCTTAATATCTAAACTCTAGCTATTTGGGTTTTTTCAAAGAAGATTTTTTAAGTTTTTGCTATACACATATAAGGAAAATCAATGACTCCCGGGGCGGGGCCAATTTTGACCCCAGGGCTTTTATTTGAACAAACTTGGTAGACACCTATAAGAACATGTTTGATGCTAAATATCTTAGCTCTAGCTCTAAGAGTTCTTTAAAAGAAGTTTTCTAAGTCTTTACTATATATATGCATATAGGGAAAATCAATGACCCCCTGGGGCGGGGCCAATTTTGACCCTAGGGCTTTTATTTGAACAAACTTGGTAGACACCCATTGGAAGATGTTTCATGCTAAACATCTAAGCTCTAGCTCATTTGGCTTTTTAAAAGAAGATTTTTAAAGTTTTTACTATACACATATAGTTAAAAACAATGACACCCCTGGAGCGGGGCCAGTTTTGACCCCAGGGCTTTTATTTGAACAAACTTTGTAGACACTTACTAGAAGATGTTTCATGCTTAATATCTAAACTCTAGCTATTTGGGTTTTTTCAAAGAAGATTTTAAGTTTTTGCTATACACATATAAGGAAAATCAATGACCCCCGGGGCGGGGCCAATTTTGACCCCAGGTCTTTTATTTGAACAAACTTTGTAGACACTCACTATGCTTAATATCTAGACTCTAGCTATTTGGGTTTTTTCATAGAAGATTTTTTTTAAGTTTTTGCTATACACATATAAGGAAACTCAATGACCCCCGGGGCGGGGCCAATTTTGACCCTAGGGCTTTTATTTGAACAAACTTGGTAGACACCTATTAGAACATGTTTGATGCTAAATATCTTAGCTCTAGCTCTTTGAGTTCTTTAGAAAAAAAGATTTTTTAAGTTTTTACTATATGCATATAGGGAAAATCAATGACCCCCTGGGGCGGGGCCAATCAAGACCCCAGGGCTTTTACATTGTATTTGAACAAACTTGGTAGACACTCACTAGAAGATGTTTCATGCCAAATATCTAAGCTCTAGCTCTTAGCGTTTTTTAAAAAAAGACATTTAAAGTTTTTTCTTTCGGTTGCCATGGCAACCAGATTTCTGCATGGAATTAAATTCTTTGAACAATTTTTAAAGGTGACCACCAAAGGAACATTCCTGTGAAGTTTGGATGAAATTGGCCTAGTGGTTTATGAGGAGATGTCATTTAAAGTAAAAGTTTACGGACGACGGACGGACGGACGGACGCCGGACGAAAAGCGATCACAAAAGCTCACCCTGTCACTTTGTGACAGGTGAGCTAAAAACAAACCCAACAACAATAGCATGTTTTATTTTATCTTTATGAGATAAAAACAATAAATATGTACAATAATTGAGAAAAAGGTACATTTTTATGGTATTAATATGACACTATCAACTTTGAAACATTTTATTTAATTTGTTATTCGTGTTTAGTAAAGATGCCGAGGAATTATTCAAAGTTACAAATTAGATTTTATGAATTATTCAATTGATTGATAATTTAAAAAATGATAAAGAAAAATACAAATGTACATGTATATGGTTTAAGAATAAACAATATTATATATTGAAAGATTAACCATAATTTACTGACTTTTGCAGTTAAGTTTTTACTTATAATCGTCGGTCAATATGACAATTGAATTCTTAAAATAAAAGTAAAGGTAAAAACTCAGTATTAAAATAGCACATAAAACACAAAAAAAAAAGAAAACAATATTTATAAAATCTGTATTTTTTTTTATTAGAATAGATATTACAATTATTTTAAGACTGAATTAATACAAAACAATTAAAACAAAAAACCTTAACTTTTGATGCATATTATTAATCCATTATATCTTGTACTCTATAATCCATATCAAGTCAAAATTAAACATTTATAGGAATGGCATTATTTGACCGCACTGATAAACCAAATATTAATTCCACTGGTAGTCAACAAGTGCCATATGGAATTTGATACCCTACACTTACAATCGAATGGTGCCACCTTTAAAAATTTATAATATGGTATTTATTATGACTTTCAGTTTCAGTCCAAATATTCCAGTAATAGATAATAAAAATTCCATTTCCATGATATCCAAAAATCCATTTCCATGATATCCAAAATCCATTTTCCTAATATCAGATATTTTCCATTCCATGATATTCCATTTCCATAATATTAAAAATTAAAAATATGCTACTTAAATTGATAAATACTAAAGAAACTATTATATATCTCCGCAATAAGCCCACCTGTTCCGAGCAGACTTAAAGCATGCTAATTAAAAATAAAAGAAATTATAGGATATTGTCCCTCCAAAATTGGTTTTCTGAACAATAATGTCAGCCATATTCTGAAGAGAGTAAATCCATACCTTAGTTTAATATTTAAAACATATTAATTCTTTAAATTATTTCTAAAAAGTAGAGTTGCACCATTCGATTGTCAGCGGCCTACAAATTTTCCGACAAATTTCAGTGCAGCACCTAAACGCGGATTTTTTTGATTTTTTTTTTAATGTCACATGCTCTCTAAAGTTGTCCTGAGCTAGTTAACATATACAAAATTTCAGCACAAATATCATTTCACATTTTTGCTCAATCAACAAAGTTCATATTGTCACACTTTTGTAGTTTACTGTAAACAAGAATGATGACTGTTAGGAATTTCTTGCACCAAGATACCATTGACTTTTGTGCTGTTGTCTTCTGTATGACAGTAAACAGTTACCATGCTTCATCTTATTCTGAAAATATAAAACTCGAAGAGCAGAAAACAAGCCTGGTTCAATTCTATCAATGTTTATTGTACACGCATGCCTTAATTTTGGGTGAGGTGGGTGGGTGAATTTGAAAATTTTCTCTAGTCTTTCCAGTGTGGAAGCTGAGGTTGAAAGGAAGAGTGTTTCCCATGTGACCCTAAACAGGAAGTGACCTTTAACCTTCCATCTATTTCCAGAAAATTATCAAAGGGAAATAACTCAAAATTAAAGTATGAAAACATCTTGTAGCAGTTACATCCCTTATACAGTTATATCCAGTATTCTGCTAAAATAATAAGGCCTTATTGATTTAAACAATAAGACACATTATTTTAAGACTGAATTAATACAAAACAATTGAAACAAAAAACCTTAACTTTTGATGCATTTTATTAATCCATTATATCTTGTACTCTATAATCCATATCAAGTCAAAATTAAACATTTATAGGAATGGCATTATTTGACCGCACTGATAAACCAAATATTAATTCCACTGGTAATCAACATGTGCCATATGGAATTTGATACGCTACGCTGACAATCGAATGGTGACACCTTTAAAAATTTAAAAATATGGTATTTATTATGACTTTCAGTTTCAGTCCAAATATTCCAGTAATAGATAATAAAAATTCCGTTTCCATGATATCCAAAAATCCATTTCCATGATATCCAAAATCCATTTTCCTAATATCAGATATTTTCCATTCCATGATATTCCATTTCCATAATATTAAAAATTAAAAATATGCTACTTAAATTGATAAATACTAAAGAAACTATTATATATCTCCGCAATAAGCCCACCTGTTCCGAGCAGACTTAAAGCATGCTAATTAAAAATAAAAGAAATTATAGGATATTGTCCCTCCAAAATTGGTTTTCTGAACAATAATGTCAGCCATATTCTGAAGAGAGTAAATCCATACCTTAGTTTAATATTTAAAACATATTAATTCTTTAAATTATTTCTAAAAAGTAGAGTTGCACCATTCGATTGTCAGCGGCCTACAAATTTTCCGCCACAACAAAGTGTTTGCACTTTGTCCCCCAAAATTTTAGGCTAGACTTCTAAATACTTCTGAGATGTATCTGACTCATTATTTAAAAATAAGGAAACGGCTTCTGACACAGCCAAAATAAACATTTCATTACCAATGTCAGACAAGTGCTAATTGTCTGCACGGAAAAAACCAGGTGTGCCCTTGTCAATAGACTTGATATGTAAAGATCTACCATTGGGCTGGGTCAACATAAACTGCGAGATAGACCTGTTTACTCTTTGTCTTTTTCTATTCATACAGGCCAAATCTGAACCCTTACCCTGCCACAACCAAGACAATCTCGGCAGAATAAAAACCCATACAATTATCGCGCTTTGAAAGTTTTCAAAAATACACCTTATTTCACATTTCAGTTGCCGAATGATTTTACACACATTTGTATTTACAATATTATTCCCTCCAATATGCAGAAATATCATCTTGGGTGATTTGCCTTTCAGAACACCTAACTGCATTTTAGAGTGCAAGTCTTCCACCTTGAGACCACTGTGTCCATCCCAGTCAACGATATCGTCTCCCAGAGCATTTCTTGACCTCACAGAATATCTTGCCCCAGCCCAACGGACTAGCGAGTCTCCAACAACCCATATGTCTGCAAATAAATTTGCCTAAAGTTAAAACCTAAAAATGTGCACTTATCAATAACTACATTCTTATATAGCGTGAAAATGAATTGGATGACCAGCGCCCTAACATTTTGATTTGATCATCAGAAATCCCCTTAAGAGCAAGGTCAGTTGCACGACCAATGCGGAAACTGTGTGTCAATACTTTTGACTGAAAACCAGCATGTCTGCAAGCTTTAGCTAACACAGAAGAAAACTGATATCTTGTCAAAGGACAACCATTTAAATGACAGAAAAACTGCCTAGACTTTGATGGAGATAGAATGACCAGTTGCTTTAAGAAAGAAATGCCTGAACTTGTTTCCCCATTGATTGGTATCACAATGAATGTTGGTTTCCCTGCCTGATTGGTCTTACTTATCCTTAATCTAATGGTCACATACCTATTGTCTTTACTGAAAAAACATCCTCTTTTTTTTAGAGCTCTATTACAGAGGTTGAGGGCTTGCAAACCCAACTCCCCCTTAAATCGAAAAGTACCCCAAAAAAGCTAAGTAAAAAGCCTGAATGGTTTAAAAAAATTCTTTTAAAAATTTTTAAAACAAAAAATGCTTTAAAGACTCTCTAAATTTTTTTAACATAAATGATTGAGATTGGGACCCTTTTCCCCCAAACCCCGTACTATGGCCCTTGAACGCCCTTGGGAGGCCCCCTAATGGGATTTTTTTAAAATTAAAAAAAGTTCTTTCAGATGGGTTCTGAAAACCCTTCAATTTGTGGGCAAACCCAATACCAGATGTATATAGTAAAATGGTTGATGCAGCTAGGTTCTTTTCATAACAATATGCTATATACATAACAAGCCTATAAGTAGAAACTGGCCATTCTAGCAGGAAACCATAGATTTCATGGAAGTTACTGAAGTGATTTAAGGCTGTTGTATAAGACATTCTTGTATTCTCAGACATGCTTGAGCTAATTAAACTAACAGCCCTTTGCTGAATATTTGCCAAAGACGGGGTTCCATTGCGCATGCTGTCGGACTGGCGCTTGGAACAAGAGACCAAAATCTGTCCATCTGAAAACGAGACAAGGCATCTGTTACGGAATTATTTTTCCCAGAAACATGCTCAGCTTTTATAACAATATTTAATTGCAAGCATTTTAAAGTCAAATTTCTGAGTAGAACCATCACTTGTTCGGACTTTGATGTCATTTTATTAATAATATAACAAACAGACATGTTATCAGACCTAAAGCATATTTTTTTATTTTATAGTTCCTCACCCCATGCAAAAATTGATACAACTATTGGAAACAATTCTAAAACTGTGATATCAGCAGTATAACCAAGTTTATGCCAATCATTAGGCCATCTTTCAGCCATCCATTTTCCAGCAAAATATATACCAAAACCTAGACCCTCTGCGCCAGCACTGTCAGTAAACAACTGAATGTCCTCATTTGATGTCCAAAAACGATCATGAAATACTCTTACACCATTGAAATGTTTAAAAAAGGATTCCCCACATTACGAGATCTTGTCTCATACCCATATTAATACGTAAATGGTGGTGCGGCTTTGTTAGCCCACATATTCAATCTATTAGGCGTCTACAAAATGGGCGACCAGGGATAATGGCCCTGCATGCAAAGTTTAATGAACCAATCAAGCTCTGCATTTCTTTAAGTGTGCACCGCTTTTTTTGAAGAATTGACTTAAGATTTTTTGTGATGATTCTTGCACTTTGTTTAAAGGTAAACGTACAACCATATTGTCCCGAGTTTTACTTTCCAATCCCAAAAAAATTTTTCAAAATTGTAAAAAAAACCAGACCCTCCCGGTTTTATCCTATGTAAGGGGATCCTTTAATTTTTTTCCCTTGGTTTTTTGAAAACCCGCATTAATTGTTTTACCCTTGTTTTTAAAAAAATTGGCTTCCCAAAACCCAAGGGAAAAAACATTTTTAAAAATGGGATTAGGATTGCTTTGTTTTTGGGGGATTGGAAATTTTTTAATATGCGGGTAAGGGGAATTTGGGCAAATTAAAATTGGGAAAAAATTAAAAAACTATAAAGAACAAACCAAAATGGTTTTTAACATTTATTTTTAAAACTAAAAAAAATTTTATTAAATCAACCCTTAAAAAACCTAATTTTTTCAAAAATCATCTGGAGAAACAGGGAGAAGCCTTAAAGCACTTTTGATGTCCATTTTAAAAAGCTTACATTCTTTTCCCAATTTTTTGTACCATTTGAATAGCTGTATCAAAATTTTGATACTGTACCTTACAGTTGGAAGGATCAATAAAATCATTCAAGGATTCACCCTCCGGAAATGATAAATGATGAATTAAACGAAAATCCTGTTGGGCTGCTTTTTTTGGGCACTAAACCTAAAGGAGAAACTCTAAGATAAGGTAGTGGTCTTTCTTTAAAAGGACCTGCTACACGTTGCAATTCAAGCTCTTTATTGATTTTTGCTCTAACTATATCTGGGCGGTCCAAAGCTGATTTTAGTTTTTTTTGCATTAGTCGCTATACGAGGGCCTTAATATTGCAAAGCAAACCCGTACCGAAAACCATTAAATAAAAAATTTGACTCTTCATGATTATACAATGTAGTTTGATTTAAGAGTTCATGCTTTAACTTAATAATATTCACAGGTGAAGGAGCAAGATCAAGTTGAACAAGACTTTTAATGACGTTGACCCCTGGTTTGCCCTCTGGTATAATTTTCCCTGGTGGGTGGGGCTGCTCTGTATGAGCCGCGAAAGGGAAAATTAGATCTGCCCACTTGAAATTGGTCAGCATGTCCAGGTTGACTACGACATGCCACCTTCCCATGGTTTGCTTTAAAACAAATTGAACAGATATGAGGATATCTGCAGTTGGGATACCTGCAATACCCATTATTAAAATCTAGGCATGGCGGGGTTTGATTATTCTGTTGCTTAAAATTTGTATGTAAAGTGCCAGAAAAACAACGCAACCAAAGATCAGAGTTGATACTTGACCAAGACATAAATTGATCAGCCTGACGTAAACGAAATTGTTCGTCATAATTACGCCACATAAGGCCACCATGTTTGGCAGCAGCCTCCCTTATAACAAACATATATTGAATCAAGTCTTGAGCTTGTTCTGGGAAGGCTTGGAGATAAACACTGGAAAATATCAGAAAAGAATCTGTCCATTTATCAATGGAATAAAGTTTTTCCATGGAGGTTCGTGGCTTGGCTACTATCTGGCCATTTTCATCAACACCAAGAAGAGCTCCCTGTGGGGTTTCTTTCAAATCTGTTGCAGTCCCCTTCAACAAAATAGCCAGATTTATGTATTCGTTTTGCTGAATTTTTAACTTTATTTGATTGGGCACATGTAGTCCCAAGTTTTCCCCACCACACCTCATTAATTTTGGTTGCTCAGAAATTTCAAGCATGGAACTATTAGAAATTGGTCGAGTCACACCAGAAGATTTATTTGGTAAGTTTAAAGACTCAGAAATAATTGTTTCAAAATCTATTATTTTCTTACTATTTGATGCAGGGTTGCTGTCTTCCAGCAAACTCAATCTTTCTGGTTCCTCCTCCCTTGCAGTCTTCCTTTTTGTCCCTCTACCTCTTCCAGGCATTGTTGTTTTTAATTAAACTTATTTAAAATAAACCAAAATATTTAGATTGCTTAGATTTTTTTAAGATTGAATTTCCAAAATTTTCTCTAGTCTTTCCAGTGTGGAAGCTGAGGTTGAAAGGAAGAGTGTTTCCCATGTGACCCCAAACAGGCTTCCATATATTTTCCAGAAAATTATCAAAGGGAAATAACTCAAAATTAAGTATGAAAACATCTTGTAGCAGTTACATCCCTTATACAGTTATATCCAGTATTCTGCTAAAATAATAAGGCCTTATTGACTTAAACAATAAGACACATTATTGTATAATAAACAATTATGCTCAACATGATCAACATGGTAATGTAACCAGTGTCATATTGAGAGGGGGTCTTCGCTAATAGCGATAACATAATAAGGGACAATTACACAAGTGTGGTGTTGATCATGCATTACACATATGGATTATAAATGATTGTATACATGTATATCCGTTGCTTTTAATAACCACGATCATAAAGAAATAACAAGTAATATTCTAATCTCTAGCATGCCAATCAAAGTTAATAATGAACAATGTATTTCGTCTGTTCATTCATAAGTGATAAACAATTCTGGTAAAAACCAATTAACCATTGAAAAGTTTATAATCATATATCTACTAGCTCATCTTCACCTGCTGCATTTCTTGCTTGGACGCCCTTTGATGTTTTGCATCAACGCTTTTCTTGTTATGTACTATAATTCATCTTGCAGGGCACCAGAGTTTGATACATACGGAATTTTGCATAACTAGAGTTGCATCAAAAAATCATTTATGTTTATTTTTCATGATAGCCACACTTTATCCTTGCATATCGTGGCTATTTCCTTAACAAAGACAATAAAAAAGAATTTAAAAAAAATGTTGACTCGACTGCCTGGGATTTGAACTCCAGACCTCTCACACACTAAACGAACGCGTTACCCCTGCACCACGGAGAAGTTATAAAAAGTTATAAAGGCTGAATAAAATCAAGTCATTCTAAATTTAGAATTTCCATTGCATTTCGGGTTTTTAAAGCAGCACAGGCTGAATAAAATCAAGTCATTCTAAATTTAGAATTTCCATTGCATTTCGGGTTAGGGTAATTTCGAGGTATTTTGTTCAGGGTAAACCTGTTGTTTAAAATTGAAGTAAAAAATAAAGCAAAATTCTTCTCCCCCAAATGCCAACATGTAGAAACTATATATTCAACTACTCGGCAGTCAGATTTATTTGTGTAGTATTCGGTAATCGACATCGCTAAAGTAGCATTTTCATTGATTAAAATCATATTCATCCGCGTAATTTGTGAGTGTGCATTTATTGACAATTCTATAAGCCGACGCTACTTTTAAAGTTTGAATGTGTAGTAATTTGTTGGACACTTGTAACAAAAATTGTTCTTTCTTTTAAATTCTTTTAAATTGCTGGTTTTTAGTGACACAGGACGATTTTCTTTCCCAAAGGTTGGAAGCTTTGGTAGAAAATCTTTTGCTTTTAATGGTATTTCACTATGGAACTGCCTTCCTCAAAATCTTAGAGATATTCAATCTTCCCACACTTTCAAGCATGCCATCAAAGCCCATTTAATGGCCAGTTAATTTTAGTTTATTTTTCAAAAGTATTTGAATCTTTTAATAGTCTTAATAGAGTCCCAGATTTTACTTATTCTTAAGTTTAAGCACAACACACATATGTTGTGTCCTTTAGTAATTTACCCATTTTTAGCTTGCACATTTAACGTTTTATAATATTTTTATTAAATTTTTACAGTTTGACTGACAATTTCTGTGATGCACTATTTCATGATTTATTGATGTGATACAAACTTGAACTGTGATTTTAATGTGATACAAACTTGGACTGTGATATATTGTGATATCAACTAAATTATTGCAATTTATGTCTTATTAGTAAAAGAATTAATTTCAATTTCATACAAATTACCATGACTTTCTGTGTCATGCCTCCAATATCAGGGACCACAATGGAAATAAGAGGAATCCTTTCCTCTTTTTTGTGTTATCCCTGGTATTGGTGGGCACTACATGGCTCATATATTTATATTTTGTTGTATACTTATGTCATGTGATATTTCTAGTCTCTTTAATATTTTGATTATTGTTATATGTATTGTATCATTATGCATCATTATGTCATTGCCATGTCATGTACACTTTTACCGAATAAAATTATTATTATTAAGCAGTTTTGAGTGAGAACTACTATGCGTTGTTAGGTCTGTTAGGAAATTTTGTGTTAGACCGTGGATGTTAGCTATGTATTTACTGATCTGCGATCAGAAAATACAAAAATGTTAGGTTTACAGATGGCAACTTGAACAACATGACTGTAGAAAGAGTTAAAACTTGAAAGAAAATATTGGGCTAAAAATCAACAAAACTTCGTTCATTAACATTCATTTATTTATGAAAATGTAAATTGAAACAAAAATGCTAGCGAGATCTACCGAGCATTAAACATAAACCAAAAAAAAACAACAACAAAAAACACCATAAGTGCATGCTGGAACAATACAAAATTGTTTCAACAATAATCAAATATTAAAGCAAATTGGTCCACAATAGAAGGTATGTAATTCCAAAAATAATCATGTTGATAATATTAAGTATCAAATAAACCAACAAGGAATTTTATATGCATATACTTGGTTAGTGTGAGGTACATATAGGACATATCTATATAAAGCAGACAATAAATTGTGCTACAACAAAATATCATTCATTATTTAAGGTTTATGCTTAATAACTTGAACTCTAATTAATTTTCTTTTCAAGAAATTTTTAATAGGAATAATGAAATGATACATTTCTATTGTTTTTATCAATATTTGAAATACTTCTGTAAAATGTGCCCTTTGTCAACCAATCCACTTTAAAATGAATGATAATGAACCAATATCTTTTAAAAACTACATGTTATCAATTATAACAATCTCTCTTCACACAAATACTTTATCTGACAAGGGAAACAGGACTAAACGTTCACATTGTAATACTGATGTTTATATAGAGACAAATATATACATGTACACAATATACTTATACAAAATAAATGTGACAAATTTTTATAAAACGTGGTCCACATTCCTCAATAAAAATTTTTGTTGATATATAAGCACACTAGATGGGAAATTTGACAGAAAGATTACAATGTTAGATAAGACTAAATATGACATGTCATGAACAATACGATTTTTGTGTAATTAAAGGCACCCCTCATGCCTGCAATGTTGTAACTCTGGAGAAATAAAGGGGACATGTATATAATGAAGCTAACAAAATATCACAAAATAAGGTAACAGACAGGAGCTGTCAGTCAAATTATACTTTAGTAAGTGACAGATAAACTTGGCAAACAAAATTACGGTTGCCATGACCTTTGGCAAAAAAAAAAATATGTGTAAACCAATTTTGAAAGCTGTTGACACGAAGTCCATAGTAGTTGTAAACGGTTTTGGCGCCTAAACAATATGGTGGCCAAACAATTCACACACTGTTGGTCTGCTGACTGATACATTTAAGACTAACTGTATGCAGACAGCAAAAAAACCATGGGGATTCATTTACTCAATAGCAAACTAGTCAAATCGGCCCCAAGTCAGATCTGCCCCCAAGTTAGATCGGCCCCTAAATTAGTCAATTCGGCCTCAAAATTAGTCAAATCGGCCACACAACAATTTTAAAAAGTCAAATCGGCCCCAAAACTAGTCAAATCGGCCCCAAAACTAGTCAAATAGGCCTCACAACTAGTCAAATCGGCCCTAAAGTTATTTTTATGAAAAAATCCTATTTTGGTTAAAATAATCGTCACCTGAGTGCAAAAACTCAATAACTGCATATAGATAAAGAAGCAGATATTGAGTTCTTGCACTAAGGTGACGTAATGTTATTCGCCAAAAGTTACAAGGTTATTAACTGAGAATTGTACTTTAACATAAATGTACCAATTAAAAATAATTCATTACGAAATTGAGACAGTTTTGATGCTAGTGATAATTGTTATAAATGTAATTATGCAGGTGTGCTATGGTTGTTGATTGATTTCTACATTTAATTACAATTAAATATCTGAACATATAAAGGTCGGTCTACGTTTTGAAGATAAATAATTATGTGAAAAACAAACATTTATCACGTGTCTTTAATCAATTCAGTCATTGTCACAAATAATCATGCATTGAATTCGACTTTTTTAACAAACAATTTTGCGTGAAGTGAATTTAATCAGTTATGTATAAAAAGGTTGATACTGGATTAACGAATGATTGATGCAATTAACGATAATTAAGTGTGAACAACGTGCTACCTGATTAAACGTGACGGTACAAATTATGTGATGTTCAAACTTAATTTGATTTGTCGCACATGAGTGGATATAGGAACACGCAGACAATATAGATATCATATATGAATGTATAATTTGATATTTAATTGAAGACCATCATATATAAACGTAAATTCTCAAACTGTCCCTTTAAAAAAAAATCGGTATATAATTATGTGAATATATATAACTGCTTGAATTTATTATATCATGATTTCTTGGTGCATGCATTATAATAAATAATCTGGATATATAATATATTTTATCAATCTAAATTTAATTTCTTTAAATTAAAAAACTATAAGAGAACTATAAAAGAAATTATATCACCAACAACTTAAGACGTCCGCGTATTAGACTGTGCCGTCTTTAAAGCTGAAGTAATCACATTTAATTAAAATTTTTGAGTAATTCTACTTATCCAGATTCCATCTCTGTGTATAAAATCATAATTAACAAAATTGAAAAAAAGTCTTGGTATAATTATAAAAAAAACATATATATTAAACTCTGTTGGTAAAAATGATTTCAAATGAATATAATCAATTAGATTGATTATTATATGTTTTGTTCTAAAAAAAAAAAATGTTTTCTATATATATGTAATCCATTGTTTGTCATTTGGTATTCCCATCCACACAATTGTTTTTTAACAACATTTAAAAAATAAGAAAATGAATAATGAATTTAGAAAATAAAAAAAATGGGGCCGATCTGACTTGAGGCCGATTTCACTTGGGGCCGATTTGACTATTTTGTGGCCGATTTGACTTGGGGCCGATCTGACTTGGGGCCGATTTGACT